AGTGTAGTATCTGTTCTTATCAGCGTAAACCCGAAAACCGTGAAGCTCCGAAAGGGTTCGAAGAGAAGGCTTAGCCCGGGAGACCCCGAAGCCGAAGGTTGCTGCAAGGCGCCTACCCGGTGGAGGAGCGTTGGTGCTGGCAGACTGTTGCTCAGCCGTGAATTTAGGGTTTTTTGAGGGTTTTTGAGGGTTTTTTAAGGGGTTTTTTCGGGTTTTTACAGTAGGGTTTTTAGGGTTTTATAGGGTTTAGGGTTATGGGCTCTGGCCTTTTAAAGGCGGGTGATTATGCACACTTAGAGACTTAAGTCACGGTTTTACAAGTAGTAAGGTAACTACACCTTCTTATGGCCCCTAAGTAACGTACTTCGCGGCAGGAGTTGGGGCTTCCACTCCAGGTCCCCTAGTGGTGGCCTCGTGCAGGTTTGATTCATGGGTTCTTTATTAAGCCCGAAGAGTGAGACAAGAGCAAGCCCTTGGTTATCGAGGGGGTGTTCAACCTCGTGGCGGTTCGAAACCCTAAACCCTAAACGCTAAACCCTAAACCCTTTTTACTATAAAGGCTTCAATCATTGCCAAGATTCTTCTACAGGCTTCCTCAGGTTTAGGGTTTAGGGTTTAAGGTTTAGGTTGTCGTATTGTTCGCTCCGATGCCTTATTCTAGCTCTTGAGATGCGGGATCGGTTTTGGAGTGCTCTGGACAACAGGATTTGGAGCCTCCAACCACGGCCGGGTAACTGACGGGACTTATAACCCCACTTCTATCCCATATTACGGGGACTTATATCCCCACTTATAGCTACCCATGAACCTCAAGTAGACCCTAAACCCTAGACCCTATAGATCCTTCCAAAGAACCCACTTATAAAGTCCCGATGAGTCTAACCTTAAACCCTAAACCCTAAACCCTAAAGCCTAAACCCTAAACCCTAAAGCCTAAACCCTAAACCCTGAAGCCTAAACCCTCAACCCTAGACCCTAAACCCTGAACCGTGTCTCCAACCCCGGCCCAAGGCGAGGGCGCCTTCCACCTCTGTGGCTCCACGCTGAACGCGCGGGGCTTCGGAGACGTGGGCTTCCTCGCCTACCACCTCAGTGCCTCGGCAGGTTTAGGTTTTAGGGTTTAGGGTTTAGGGTTCAGTTTAGGGTTTACGTGGAGTGCTTCTCCTGGGGAGTGGGGTGCTTGTGTGCTGACGTTTTCGGGCCTCGGCTGAAGAACGGCAGAAGAGGCAATGCTGGCAGTCATCAAGTCCGGTTTCAAAAAACGGTTTAGGGTTGATAGGGTCGCTGCAGACCGGATGGAAAAAAGTGTTTAGGGTTTGGGCGACTTTTAAGATCCAGGCGGGCATATGCAAGTCCGTGCAAAAGGGTTGGCGTCCTTAGAGACGCGACTGTGTGTGAAGAGGCTTCTAATAAAAGTGGGCACACTCCATCAAAAAGTGTAGGTATTGAGATTAGCCACTGCTCTGCCTTAGGGTCTTTCGATTGGTTCAGACCAAGACTTGCTCTTCTGTCATTGAAAACCTACGAGGCTTGCAAACACTTTCCAACATGATGGTAAGTATGATCTGCTTTTGCAATCTGAGCTGTTCAGTGTCAGCTTTGGGGCGTCCACACTGGAAATGTGCCTCTGGTAGTACCGAGGGTAGACTTCGAGAAACTAAACGACTGTAACCTTAGACCGCATACCCGAATCTACACGCCTCAAACTGCCCTGAAAGACTAAGCTCCCCGCTCCTTAAACCCTGCACAATCTAGCCTCGTGGGGCCTGGAGCCAGCTCGATTAAGTTTCGTTTCTCTTCGACTGCTATCGGAGCATCGAGCAACTGGTGCTTTCTGTCTGACATTCTGCGTGAGAAAGGCGTAGTAACTCGTCCCTCACAACCCTGTTTGAGTGTGCTGGGCCTCGCTCTGCCTTGTATTGCTAGACTGGTCAAGGCTCCACGGTGATCCATGTTTCGATGGGCAGCATCGACGAGCCTCTTGGACATCACAAATCGCCCAAAAAACCTTAAGCCATACAGCCTAAACCCTGAACCTGCTAGAAAGCTAAAGCCGATGGAACGGTTACAGAAATCCTAAACCCTAAAGCCGCAATGCCGTAAGGCACTAAACTTTAAGACCTCAAGGACCCCGGCGGAGCCCTCGAGCCCCAAAGCCCCGACGCTAAATCCAGCGGAGTCCGTACGTAAAGGAACCCTTGAAAGGCACCCAAAAAGAACCGCGAACGGAGCCACCGAAATATCCGATGAAGGAACCCCCAAAAGCAACCCTAAAAGAGCCCAGAAGGGAACCCCCAAAGGCACCTGGCGGAAAACCCCGAAAGCACCCCAAAGGAACCATTTAAGAAACACACCTGTAAATGAACCCATAAAGGAACCCCTAAAACAAACGGCAGCCCACAAACCAAATAAAGCAGGCGAACCCTAAACCCTAAACCCTATACCCTAAACCCAAAAGCAAAACACAGCAGGCGGGATCTCGAAGCCCTTGGCCACCTGGCCACCGACGCCGCGGAGCTGCGCTGCGACGCGCCCGAGCGCCCCGGAGGGTTTCCTTGAGAGCCTGGAGAGTGTTTTTTTTTTTTTGGTTTGAGTGTTTGTTTTTTGGTTTGTTTTCGGTCTTTGGGTTTAGATGATGTTGTTTTTTTTTCAGGTTTAACATGCTTCCCTAAGCTCTTGCGGAGTTCTTCAGTGTTTAGGGTTTCTTTAGGATTCTTCAGGGTTTCAGGTTTGTTTTTCTTTTGTTTCTGGTCAGGAATTCGCGTTCTTTTGGCTATTGCTTTTGGTGATCCTGCGGCTGATTTTTCCTGCTATGTTTGTTGTTATTGTAATTGTTCTGGTAGTGTTATTTATTGGTCGTAAACTCCTGCAGCCCAAACCCGACACTCTCGACCATAAACCTTATTCATAAACCCACAAGCGCCCGCCTATAAGCCCAAAACTGTTACACCCATACACCCTACACCCCTAGAAACCCCCCAGACCACAGCCTTCAACCCAGAAGCCTCAAAATCCCTACGCCCCAAACCCTAAACCCTATCCCCGCCCTCACGTCCGCACACAAAAAAAGGCAAACCGCAAGATAAGAATCAAAGATCCCCTAAAGCCCCTCATTACAAGCTCAGGTGCCTCAGACCGGACGCGTCGCCGCCGGAACTGCTTCTCCTGGTGAATGGAGCGCGCTTCGAGCTAGGCAAGGGCTTTAGGGTTGCAGGGCATAGGGTTTCGGGGTTTGAATTCGTCAAGTATGGAGTGCGTTGTCTTTTTCCCTGCGACTACGGCTGTGTCACAGCAAGGTTGCTGTGGAAGTGTTGTCGTTTAACGTGCAGTGCTTTTGTCTGGCCCGTCGTGAGTCTCGGCTTCAGTGCAGGTTCCACAGCCCTAAACCCTAAACACCAAACCCCTAAACCCTAAACCCCAAACCTCTAAACCCTAAGCCCTAAACCTTAAAGCCTAAGCCCTAAACCTAAACCCCTAAACCTTAACAGTTAATGCAGATGAGGGTTTGGGAAATTTTAAATCCCAAACGCCAAGGCCCCAAAAGACCTCCAGGCTGAAGGCCCTAAGCCTGCTTGGAGGTTCATGGGTTTCTTTAAAGGGTTCTATAGGGTTTAGGGTTTAGGGTGGGTTTCTTTAAAGGGTGCTATAGGGTTTAGGGTTTAGGGTTTAGGGTTTAGGGTTTAGGGTTTAGGGTTTAGGGGTAGTTATAAGTGGGGTTATAAGTAGGGTAACTGTAATTATAACCCATATGAGGGACTTATAACTTATAACCCCATTTTTCTGCCCATGCACCTCCAAGTGTCTCCGAAAGCCAAAAAGCCACTCGTCAGGGCCGGGTCTAGCACTAGAGCTGGATTAGTACGGAACCTACGAGAACGGGCCTCGGGTTTCGAAGCTGACGGCCATGAAGCAGGCGATGCTGTCGCGCGCCGGCTTTTGCAGACGCTTTGCGATAAATTGGCCGCCGTCTTTTTCATGCTGTTGGGCGGATGGAGCTGTTTTGATTTGGGTGAGAGAGAAGGATGCATTTTAGGAACTCGCAGCCTCATGCAGCAACAACATAGTGCACATGTCAGGCAATCTGCATCGGTATTTTCTTGAGAACCCCAAACCCGGGATCTGCCGTGGCTGCCTGGGCTGGCGATGCGGGAGCCAAGAGCGAAAAGTAGTATTACTGTATTGAAGTGTTTGTGCTATTAACTATTGTTATTGTTCCTATTTTTTTTTAATCGTGCTTGCCCTGATTCTTTGCATGGTGGCATCCTGCAATCCCTTCTTTTTGGTTGCGCTCTTGCCTGGTAGGGTCAAGCACGTCTCTTTGCATGCACCTGTCGCACGGTCTACAAGTTTACCTATCCATCGAGCGCACACATCATCTAGGTACCGAGAGTGTGAAAATGCATGATTGGTTTTACCACCCATCGGCCGACCGAGTCTATTTGTCCCTCTTCTCGATATCTCTGTATTTACGGAAGTGCTCAGCGCGTGTAGATCGACCGTCGGCTTACAAGTATCGGAGCTAGGCTTACAAGTCTTTTTCCCCACATAGTTACCATGCGGACTGCGGAGAACTCCACTTACTATGTCCGCTGATCAGCCGAGGTGAGCCGTAATCCCGGTTTCAGCCTTTGGGATCTGCTCGTGTGATTCATTTCTGGGTTCTGGCAGAGGAGCTGGATTTCAGCATACACTTTTATGTGGCAGTTGAAAAAGCGCTATCGCATCTCGCAGGCATCGATCACAGCAACCCCTTGGCTTCAGCTCAAAAAGATCTAAAAGTCCCTTGTAAGCGATTATAACGACCTCCTGACTCTGTAGCCAAGGCCCCCAACGGGGTCAGGCCGGCAGTGTGCTCGCTCGGCTATCGCCCGTGCTTTCGGCGCCTGGGAGGGTGTGATTAGGGTTCGGGGTGCAGGGTGTCCAGAGACTCCAAAACCCCTGAACTAAGGAATTCCCTTGAAATCATAGTGGGGTTCTCACTTTTTTGGGATATTCCTGACTTAAGGTGTTTTGGAGTCTCTGGGTGTCAGGGTGTCGGGGTTTAGGAGGTACTATGGGGCTTCGGGGTTTAGGGTGTAAAGTTCGGGGGGTTGGAGTTGAGAGTTGTGAAAGGCTGCTGTTGCCTTTGCTCAACACTCCGGTTCTGCCCCCTTGGGCTATCGGAACTCTGAGTAAAGTTGGGGCTTGCCTTCTGGGTTCGAGAATGCCGATTATGGCGATGATGATGGGATCTTTGCATGCGGAAAAAGGGCATCACGTATTGTCATACAGTGGCGAAGGTCTTTTGGCGTTGGGGTTTGGGCATGAGGCCATTTTGAGTTTCAGGCTCCAGGCCTTCCAGGGGTTTGGGGTCGGATGCCTATCCGAAATGCGCACTGAAACCCGGTTTCGTGCACCAACAAGATGACAGTTCCCTGAGCTACCCATATCCTGAACCTCGAAGCACTCCAAGTCCTAGTGCCAACCTTGATTCGATGAGCTGTGCGGACACAGTCCCTCGATTCGCCCGCATGTCCAGCTAATTTGTGTTGGCAGGCTCGTCGAGCAGCGATGCACATTTGTGAGTTTGTCTTGTTAGAGTCTTCCTGTTTTGTAGCGAACGTTAAGGCAGCATAGTTGCCTGTTTACCAACATGAACGCAGCTGATGCTTCGAGACTAGGTCACATGTATCCTTACCCTTGACTATCCTGAACTCTCCACATATCCTAAATCCGAAACCCTAAACCCGCTTATTTCCTAAAGCCTCAATCCCTCCTAAGCCTGTTCCCAGCCACCAGGTGCAGATCCCTCTCTGGAGGCTCTGCCCAGCTGCGAGAACTGGGGCTATTGGCCCAAGGCGGCCGAGTGGGTTTTCAAGATTTGTTGGGGTTTAGGTTTAGGGTTCAGGGAGCACAGTTGCAAAAGGGAGCTGTGCTGAGCTCCTCAACTTTCCAACACTTTGCTTGGGAATTCTACCCGACTGTAAGCGTCTTGTTCTTGAAACAGCAGCTATTGCCTCTCTGGCCGGCGTGACAAAGCATTGCCCTGGTATCAGAGCGGGGAAGATGCATCACTGTCAAGCCGAGATTTGGGAGGAGCCCAGAGCTCTAAAGGCACCGCATCGCCAACCTCGTCTTGTCCATGGGGCCTCGGGCAGCCGATTTTTCTTTCCACGCTTGTGCGAGAACTGCAGACGTCTGTCTTTTTTTCCGAAGACGGGATTACGAGATCGTACGGTGCAAGAGTTTCTGACGGGGAACGATCAGATCCTGGTGGTAGGAGTGGTAGGATGCACAAGTCTTCTCGCGCAAAGCCCTGGACTTTTTTGGGGGTTAGGGTGCCCAGGTTTTTGAAGGGGAACGGTCCGCGTAGGCTTAATATCCTTTCAACTTCAACCTAAACCCTCAAAATCGCTCTAAGCCCTCAACATTGACCCCATCGAAGACTTTCCAAGTGAAGCAACCCTACAAGACCAGACCTATAATTCCTTAGATTTCAAACCGCTCAAGAAAGGCACCCTAAACCGGAACTCTTGAGCCCTAAGCTGAGCCCTAGCACAAGACGTCCTTGCAGGTGGAGCGATTGCGGGAGCAACTCCTTGAGGTTCCTCCGGTGGTCGACGGCGTGCTGCAGGCCACGTGGGGCGGGGGTTTGGGAGTTTTTTTGGGGTGGGGTTTGGGAGAAGTGAAGTTTTTTTTAATCACCGAGGCCACGCGAGAATATATCACCAAAACCTTGTTCCAGGTTTTCAGACCCGTGTTTCTCAACGGTTTCTTTATATGTGGCCGAGCAAGGCGCCTATCGCAGTTTCTTGATGCCTCGCTAGTCTGGAGCTCCTTCGCACAGCTAGGGGGTTAAGAAATCCCGCTCCCCGGACAAGGCTTGTCATCCGACGATCACAGCCCAAAGAGGGAGGCCCCAAACCCAAAACTTCGAGGATCATAACCCAAACACCTTAAACCTTCAACCCTCAAACCTTAAAGGGGCTTTACTGTACCTAACTGGGAGCCTTAAGAAGCTCAAGAAGCCCCGAACACGGAAATGAAAGTCCGATGCCCCAAGCTAGCGCCCTCTAAGGGCTCTGTGAGAGCTCTATGCTTGAATTTCAAGCGACCCCGTGAGCCCCGGAACCTCTGAAATTAAGAAAACTGCTTAGAGAAGGAGGGTATGCAGGCCTTTAGGTTATCCAGGAAGCCTTGTTGCACTCAGACTACGGAGCCACTTCAGGGAGTTTGCTTTTTGAATTTGGAGCCCTAAACCCTAAACCCTAAACCCTAACCCCCTAGACCCCTAAACCCCTAAACCCCTAAACCCTAAACCCTAAACCCTAACCCCCTAAACCCCTAAACCCCTAAACCCCTAAACCCTAAACCCCTAAACCCCTAAACCTGCTCTGCGAGGCCTCCGGCAGCCAGGTGGCGCGGCGCCTTGAGGCGCTAGTGGCGCACTTGGCCGGCGCCGAGTCCCCAGGTGTGGATGCGGGTACTAAAGAGCACGGGACTTCCTGGGCATCCATGAGTCGACATAGCCTCGTCTTACCCAGACCTCTGTGAAGCCTTGCCTTCCCAGTGCGAGTGGTGAGAATCGAAATCCCTAAGCCCTTCTGGGAATTTCGGAAAGTTTGGGTCCTTAGTTTGGGGTCCTGAGAATAAGGATCCTACTGTTCAGGGTCCTATCATTATCGTCCCCCTATTTTCGGAAACCCTAAACC